GAAAAGCTGAAGACCTTGATATTTATTTGAAACGCTGTCACTAAAAATACTATGATATCCTAAAATGACGGATAACACCACAAACAAAGTTAAGCTAGACAAACTGCATGCTCTACCTCCATGTCCTGAAATGTCTCTTAGTAAAACTGCTTCCTGAGAACTTGTAAAGCCTGCGCACACCACGTATTTGCTTATACATTTTTCAAATAGCATGAAATAGCCCTTGAAAGAAGTTAAAGGGTCTCACAGTGCCTGTATAGTAACCAAGGGTGATGCATTATCCCTGAAAGAAGGGAGAGCTCAATAAAACTTAAAAGTAACCATTACATTTCATACAGATCTATGGTAGCAAAGACTGCTTAAACAGTAAAAGTGTTTTAAAATCCTAAGGTTATTCAAATATATGTTCTGAAAATGTGGCTCGAGGCCTCTTTTGTATAAAAGGAGCAGATGAGTATAATGGAAGATAGCCTTAAGAACAAATTAGCTGGCATTCAGCTTCTAAGGGAAAGCAGGTTGTGAAAATAACAGCTTCAAAGGAAAGGAATTCACCTGGAAGTGGGTATGTGCTCACTAATACTAACACTGGTCAACTGGGTGTTTTAAGAATTCTTTAAACTTGCTACATTAAAATTCAACAGCTAGTAATCATCTTTCATTCAGGGTAGATGGACTAATCCCCAAATTAATACAGCATCTGTACTGGCATTTTTTCTGAAAATCTGGTTTTAACACTTTTACCACAGTCAAACATGAAAGGCTTATTTTGGGCATAGTTGAAGGCAACTGGAGAAACTACAGTAAACTCTGAAAAAGCAGGATGTCCTTAAAACCTCCTATAGGGCAAAACAAGCAACCAGACAACTCTTTATAAGCATCAAGCAGCTAAGAAATGTAATTGCGTGCTCAGGCCCTAAGTCATGTCTGAGTCTTTGGCGACCCCAAGGACTGTGGCCCCACAGGCTCCTCTGTACATGGAATTTTCCAGGCAAGAATACTGGAGTGGGTTGCCATTTCCTACTCCAGGGAATCTTCCCAACTCAGGGATGGAACTTGTGACTCTTGCATCTCCTCCACTGGCTGTACTTTTAAAATAGCATTTTATGATAAATATTTACTTTTAATTATTAAATGGTACCCCAAATCGCAAGTACGTGAAGCACCTGTTGTGGAGACCATATGGGGAAAGCTACATAAAAAGACCAGCAGTGTGCCTCAGCACACAGTGACTGTTTCATGTTAGTTTACCTCCTTAGCAAACAGTTAGCTGGTTTGAGGGCTGTTTGTCTTTTGGGGGTTTTAACTATAGCCTTTATTTGGAAAATAGCCTCAATTAAAGAAATTTTTAAAATTTTTATGTCATTTTAAAGGTTACTTTCCTGATTTGAGGTTTCAAGTGACCCATACCTCAAGAGACTTTAGAGAACAGCAGTTTTTAAACTTAATTTTTAAATTTTAGGAATCTACTGATTATAATTCATAGCTGAAAAATATAAATTCTCTCCAAGAAAGTGCATGTGTATAAGACTTTGCAAGCAATTTTAGGAAGTTCATAGACCCTCTTAAACTCAACAAAACCATCTAGGGATCTAGGGACTTTGGATTAAGAATAGCCGAAAAACCAATCAATTATTTAAACCTGAATTTGTACAATAAAACTCTATGGGATAAGAGAGACTGCTTAATGAATGCTTATTATATACTTGACATCAGGCAAAGCAATTTAATGAATTATTTCAATCACCTTTGCAACAGCCCTTTGCGATCAGTGTACTGTAGTAGCATACCCATTTATGAGTGAGAAAACTAAGGGTCAGATGGTTAGTTAACGTGTCCATGTTATACAAGAACTCATCATGAGAAAAATCTGTTCTCTGAAGGATAATGCACCAAAATCAAAACTAGTAGCTAAAAAAAAAAAAAATAATGACTTGGTTTGATCATGCACCCATCAAAGAACATTTAAGCTGTTTCCAGTATTTTTCTATTGTGAATAAAGCTGCTGTGAATATTTTTTTCATGACATAAAATAGCTTGACCCACTATTAAAACATGGTCATATTTGTAACAATATCTGTTAGCTACCCCCACAGCGGTCTTAAACGCACAGAAAGGTAAAAGTAAAGAATAAAAATGCTAAGTAACTAAACATCCTAGTGAGGAGCACTGAACTTCCAGTGAGGAGAGGACAGGTACACTTGATAAGCACTCCAGCCTGCAGAGCCACACCTACCACAGTGGACGTGAACATGCATTCAAGTCCCCTTTAAATCGCTGCACCTCTCTGCTCTGGACAGAGCCTTTGTCACACAAATTAAATCCCAATACCATATGGGGAGCAGCTAGGGTTGCAGATCATCTCTTCCCAGCCTGGGGAGGATCTGGAGAATGCTTCCTTTGCCTTCTCACCTCCCTCCCTACCCACTACCAGTAAATCAGTACTTTTTGCTAGAAGGCATCTGAGCTAACAGATCTCAGGAATGAGTAAAAATGTTGCCTTTCCAACACAGATGCTTTTAAAATGAACAGATAAAAATTAATAAAAATTAAACCTTATGAGTTGATGCCATCATTAGTATAGAAACAGAGATCACAGATACCTGAATATGCAAAGAAAAGTTAAATTATGATGCAATCAATGCTATCCTATAAAAACTAAATTAACAAAAATAGTCTATTAGAGAAGACATCTGGTGTATCATGGCAGGAAATGTTAATGATATTGTCTGCAGCCCTGTAATCAATTTTTTCTCCCAGCAGCTCTCTCATTACACTGTATCAGATCTGTGGGCCTGCAGAATTTATGAGAGCTCCACACATGGAGGGAAGCTTTGCCAACTGGATCCGATTCAGATCCAGCTCAAATGACTTTGACAGCATGAAGCATTGTTAAAGAACAATCAATACGTTAGCTTTACACAGCATTGTCTTGACTGAAAAAAGATCTGTCATCTTACTACAGAATCTTCTCCAGCTTACATAGAATGGTTATCTGAGTATACCACTGATCATGGACTTAATTAAATTCCTGTGGACATAATATTTTTACTGCTAAAAAATTAAATGAATCAATACTAGGCATCACTAATGCTAATATAAAAAGTTTACCAAAAATCAATGTTATTATGGGCAAAACCTTAAATCCATTCAGCAAATCCTGGTTAGTGAGTATTGCAATAAATGAAACAGTCTAACAATGACATCCACACTGATTAGAGAATATAGTATAGGTCTAAAAGATAAAAACCATTTCATACACACACACACGTAAACAAACAAGATGGTAATTGGTAAAGGCTGGAGCTTCTGAAACAGGCAAGTTGGGACTGCTAATTTGTTCCTTAAGATGCCAATATCTCTCCAGGGATTAAAATTAGATTTTTATCCACTACACTGGGTTTTATCTTCCATTGTGATTGACTATTATATATCAGGAGTTTCAAGGCTTCCATAATGTGAACATTTTTTCTGGTCTCATTCTTGATAAATTACAGTGGCAACTATCTAAACATGAAAATTGTTTTAAGAATTATTCCTGATTTTATTACAATTATTTATACCCCATCTCCATTGTCTTGGCCCTCTTCATTTCATGCATGGATGACAGCCCTAGCCTCCTAACTGGAACTTTCAGTATTTCCCCCACTCCACACTGCTACCCAGTGAATCTTCTTAAGCAGTGATAGGCCTGCCTGGAATGAAAAAGCCTGCAAAGGCTCTCTTTGGCCCAGCACGTAAAATCTTGCCTTTTCTAACCTTCTACGATCTGGCCCCGTTTCACATCCCCATGTCTGCCTCCCAGGACCCACTAACCTGTGCTCTTCTTTGATGTTCTGCAGTCATCTTCTCACAACTCTCGGCTTCACCAGGCTCAATGCCTATGTTGCTTACAGGGACAGGCTGGCATGCACACGTGCAGGGCTCCTCCACTCTGCCCGCCCCACGTTACCAGTGTACCAGAAACACACCTTGCTCCTCAATACCTATCTTCCTTCCCAAAGCTTTCCCACGTGCTGCTACAGCCCATTTGGAGTGCTCTCTTCTCTGAGTCTCAAGGTAATAATATTCTACAGGGAAACTGAATGAATCATTACATAGTGCCAGTATCCTGAATCGTGTGAGTACGTGTGGTGACTACTCTCTTGTGTTATTTTCTAATTGAGCATGAGTACGAGCCCCCTGGCGAGATCACATAAAACAAGAGAAAGACGGGTCTTAAACTTCTTTAGTGATTAACAGCAATCAATCAGAACAAGAAGCACCAGTCTTTCAAAAACTTTAGCATTAAATCCTCATAAAGGAAGGAAAATGAACACAGATGTGTACACACAGCTCTCAGAGAAGGCAAGACATGAAAATAACCCTCGTGGACCACTAACACCAGGCCCTGTGCTCCAAGGGATACAGCGCTAAAGACATTTTATCCTGCTCTGCCTCAGAACAGGCCCCGCATCACCACCAGGGAACAGAGGACTTCCGGGGCACAGCTGAGAGCACCACCTCTACATGCCAAGCCTGTCACACACTGATTCTGTATCTGGCATTGCAGAAAAGCCCAGCTACCTCTGCGCAACACTCTACCAAACATCCCCCAGGAGGGCAGCACCCCACACAGTTCAGAGCCACGGGCCACAAGTCCCAGGGATCCTGGGGAAAGGCACTCTCCACACGTGGACCCACTTACCCCCTTCTCCCCCATTTCAGTTGCCAACATCCATACTCGCTGCTGATTGCCAGCTCCTGCTCCTTGCAGCAGCCCAGCGTGCTCTCTGCTGGTGCCAGAGTCCCCTACACCACCACCCCCCAGCGTCTGGAACTGTCCTAGAGGGGTAAGGCAAGTCCCGTATTTGCTTCCTCTGTGCATGTACTTGTTACTCCTTTAAAAACACAGACAATACAGCACATTTTTAAAGGGGCTCTGGGGAGGGAGGCAATGATCCTATTTTATACCCTGTGGGATATAAAATATTGATAGCTTTTAAAAACGGGATTCTCCTTACCCCTACAGGCCCTCGCCCGGCTTCAGAAAGATGCTGTGGTGGCTGTGATGCCACCGGCAGAGAGCATGCTGGGGGGTCACACAAAGCAGGAGTTGGAGATCTGCAACAGGCCTGGGAGTTGTGGACCTAAAAGAGAAAACAGTCTTCAGTTAACATGCCTGATGTCCCCTCAGACCCTGGTTATTAGGGGCACGCAGCACACAAGCAGGTTTCTGCACAAATCCTTTAGCAGATGGTCTCCAAAATCTCAGAGAATCTGTTTTACCACTCAAGTTAAACTTTGCGCATCCATCAAAGCTGTTTCTCACTCTGGCGTGAACAAACATATGACCCTCTGGCTCCACACTTTCGTGTGGGTCTTGTTGTAAGGCAGTATGGTGTGTGCCCCTCGAAATAACCAAGTTAAGATGTGACACAGTGTCAAAACGCAGTGACAGTGGCATGCTTTGCTTATAATAGAAACAAAAATGCAACGGTGTCAGATAAACACAACTATAAAATGAACCACAAGCGGACAAACTGAGCTTTCAGAAGAGTTTTCTAAGGACAGATGTTAGAGGCATAAGACACATACTTCATAAGGAAATGCTCAAAGTATGGGGGGGTGGGGGCGGGGGGGCCTCAAGAGAGATCCTACCATTTTCTCAAAGTCCTAGTTTCATTTTGTAAAGCTGAAGACAGAGGCTTAACACCAGAGAAAAAGACAACATCCTTCAAACAAGCTTGAGTTTGCTCACAATGCCCAGAGGGTGAGTATAATGAACAGGCTGGAGCATAAAGTTCAAGAAAGACATTATGTCTTTTAGGAGCCAAACCAGTTTGGTGCATATCATACATGTCTTTCTTTTTCCCCAAGAAACATTTAAAACCAGCAAAAGATTAGGGAGCAACTTCTGAAAGCCAGCACAGTCCACAGTATCACAAAAGATAGCTCAGGTAATAGTTTGAACATGTTCCTTTTTCGAATACTCTAGGGAATATATAACATTTCCAAAAACTTAACCGATCCAATTTCATGTAGTTTTTAATGAACTAAAAAAACCCATAAAACCCATATACTTAAGCGAATCTCGGTTCTTAAAATTGCTTAGAAATTACAGGTAAGCAAACTTTTCACATTAAATCATTTTTAGGGAGTCCTATTACACATAATTCCTTTCAAGAAGAAAAGAGTCCCTTACAGCTTCTTATAGTCCAAGATTTTAATATGCTCCATTAACTATTTGTTCTTTTTAAATGTCTCTGAAAACAAACAGAAGGACAAATCCCAAGAAAAAGAACTAATATGGGGAATGTCTTTATCACGATGTTTTTCTTACTCGTCAGATGACCCTCCAGAGGACCCTGGGCTCCCACACAGTATGCTTTCTGGGCAGTCAGTCTCTGACTCATACTGCCCTGGGGACACTATATAAATGACCTCTGTGAACATCAAGCGTCAATAGCCATAATCATCTCTACCACACACCTCCCTCCTCCCCATACCAACACTGCTAATTTCAAATCAAAGATTCAACTGGGCACTAGGATGTACAGTACAGTCAAGAATTTTTAATGTAAGCAACAAACATTTTTGAAAAACTGAAATTCTTGTTAATCTCTTGCACTAGGAATTAATCACACCACTCAAATGCTTATTCATTCAAATCAAGTGTTTTAAGCAAAAAACACCTTAGTAAGGCATTTCTAAACATGCTGGCATTATTTAATATGCAAAAGTTCAAGTAATTATTAAAACATTTTATAAAGGCATCATTTCAAAGCATTTCATTACTCTCATTTATGAATCAAAAAACACTGATAGTATCTCAGTTGTCCTAATTTTTTCTTTCAATTCTTCTAATGAGTTTTTTCTTGTATAATTTTGAGTTGGCCCTTAACGCAAACATCCACATATACATTAATTACAAATTTCCACTTCTAAGAAACAGTTGGAATGACAGCTATTTACCAGTCCTCTAGCACAGTAGCTCTCTACAAACATCAAATTGTCTCAAACTTCCTTAAGCTCCTATTAAAAAAAAAAAAACAATACCCAGAGTTTTCTGCATTGTAAAAATTTCACATATACAGAGCAGGTTTAGTAAAATAACATTTTTAGGTAAGTATTTTATGGAAGTAAATATAATAAAACTTCTTCAATGATTTCCTACACAGAGTCCTAAAAGTCCAAATACATTAGGAGAAAATGAATTACCCAATCACACAATAATCATGAACCATTAAAACTTTAAATCCCATGAAGCCTAAATGACTGTCAATCATCAGTGAAAACACACCACTCAGAAGCTGGGTAAATGGGGCCAATAAGATACCTTGAGATATTTATTCCCAAAGCCTCAGTCTGATTTTCACTTGTGTCACCACTTCTCCCACTTAAGAACTGACACATATCATGTGAAAATGTTGTGATGATTCAAAATAACTTTCAACACGACTGCCCCGTAACTGGGGTGAGGGTGGAGACAAGCATGGCAGGTTCCCGCAAAGCTGCATCTGACTGACCATCACACTCAGGGCCAAGTGACTTCATCCCACTCTTAAATTATAAACTTCATGCGAAAAGGACATTTAGTCCTTGCACACATATTTATTACTGGTGGCTCACTTCAAACACAGCATGGAGGAAGTCCACTACCCCATTACAGTTTATCACAAAACATATGGATAGCAACTAAGTGACCAAGACCTTTATTTTAAAAAAAGAAGTGGGGAAGGTGTGGCCTTCAGAAGAGTACTCTGGCATCAAGTCAGTAATTCAACTCTCCTTTTTTTTTTTGAAACCTTTTTTAAATTGAAGTATAGGTGATGTACAATATTACACAAGATACAGGTATACAATACAGTGATTCCTAATTTTTAAGACTGCATTCCATCTATAGTTATCATAGACTGTTAGGGATATTGTACTATGCAAGATACCCCTCTACCTTATTTGTTCCTCTTAAGCCTCTACCCCTATCTTGCCCCTCCCCTCTCCTCACTGATAACAACTAATTTGTTCTCTGTTTCTTTTTAATTATATTCACTAGTTTGCTTTCTTTTTTTAAGATACCACATATAAGTGAGACCACACAAAATTTGTCTTTCTCTGTCTGACTTACTTCACTTAGCAAAGTACCCTCCAAGTCCATTCATGTTGTTGCAAATGGCAAAATTTCCTTCTTCTCTCCACCTTTTCTTGACCTAGGAATCACTGTAAAAGAAGGGCACTGAGGCACCCAACTCCTGACGGTGAGAACAACTAAACTGACAAAAAGGAACAACTCTTTAAAGAACTGTCTCTGCTGTACTTTCCATTATCTAAGATGTGACTCCTCACTCTGTAAGCAGAAAATACTTAATAACAAACTTCCAAGGTTTTCACTTCATTATCCCACACAACACCTAAGTCACAAAGCTGTAAGCAAGTGGTACTGACCTTTCTACAGGGTATGAACGAAGAGGGTACAGAGAAAAAGAAACTACAGAAAGACTCAATTTGGTAGGCTTAACTTGAGAGACTACAAAAAACCTAGAGAGAAAACCACCACTGCTTCATACAGAAACAAATCATCACATCCCAAGGCATTTTTCCTATGAACTGCCTTCTCTGGGATGTTTACATAAGACTAAGACATCATTTATCTTTGCTGAAAGTCAGTGATACAGAAAATTCAAAGCGGAACACAATAATGCCTAAAAAATATTATGACTTTGGCTATATTCACATAAACTTCCTGAAGAAAACTTTGTAAATGAACTTTATAAAGTATTTTTAGAATTATTTAAATATATAAAATACCACACACTGCAGGCTATCTCAAGGTAAAGAAGCAGATCTCTTTGGCCTGTTTAATAAATGAAAGGCTAATTTGTAGTTAACGCAAGCACTGTATCAAACCACTACTAAAGTTTTTTAATAACTTTATCCAATTAACTTTTTCCACTGAAGTGTAACTTCATTCAATATTCAGTAAATATTTATTATGGATCTTACATGAGTCATGCAATATATAAATCAATGAATAAAACAGATGAAGTATGTGCTTTTACCAAGCTTAAACCTAGAGCACCAACTAAATGTCAATGTCACAATCATCACTAAACTGTCCAGTATGTAGGCTTATCTTTTCATCTAAAAACAAGCCATGGGCAAGGTGGGTGGGCACTTTACATCCCAACTTTACAGGTAAATAAAGCAAGGTGAGGAGGGTGTAATGTCTTGCCCAGTGTCATGGAAAACAACGACTGATGAACAGACTAGCTGATGTCCAAGTGGAGCTCTCCACCCAGGCACTCTACCATCCCCCAAAACTCAATCCCAGGGTAACATCTAATCTTCTCAATTAGCCATGTTCAAATTAATGTACATTTCCTGCCTCCCCTATGAGTTTTCAATACAAGGTTGACCTAACATTACAATGAACGCCCATACACCATATATTCTGTGCTGAGTAGTCACATCAGCCAAGCTGGGATTAAATAACTATGGTGTATAACACATGTATGCACACAAGGTTGCCTGTTAGTGAAGCCTCCCTTACCTCCCAGTATTGTCCATGTAAAGGTCTCTAACAAAAAACCAAGAAGATATAGCACTTACTCTCAGTTAAGCTTTCATTTTAAAAAAGGAAAAGCAGCTAACTGCTTTCAGTCTTCTGAGAACCTTAATTTTGGTGGAGAGAGGGCAATTTCAATGGTAAGTGGAGCTAAGCTGAAGCCCCTGACTGCCGCACTGTGGCGATCAGCTTTTGGGGTAGGGTTATGGGTCTAGGCCAGGAACTAGGAAGAAATTCCAAACATTCCTCCCTCAGCTACTCACATTTGGCTATGAAACAAAGAGACACCAGATACTAAATCTTACATAACTCAGTCCCCACATTCACAGCAGTAATGGAGGTGTGTCTTTGCCAAGGTAAGGAGTAGGAGGCATCCTTAACTATTCCACATGCAGGATCAGCACTGAGAATATAAGCTGTTAGGGACGACAATGATACCAGAGCATATGCATCCATGAAGAGTTGTAACAACACCCTGAACCCTAAAAGTCAACTGGAAAAAGCGAAAATTCACTACAGACAGGTCCCCAACTCCAAGGAGTCTCATTTAATAAACCAAATAGGAGCAAAAATGGACCAATGGTATCTGCTCAGAATAATATTTGTAATAATTATCTATCTGACCTGAAAATTAATTTCATGTAACAAATAGCTGAAGAATTGATAACTGTAATAACTCAAGGAAACAAGCAACATAATTTTTCTATTTAATGAATAACAGAAACTATTAGGAATCCACACAGAATTCCCATGCAGGATATTAAAAGAATGGCTTCAACCACTCATCTGGGAGTGAAGGATCAGGCAGAAAGCACTACTCTTAGAATCAGATGAGGAACTCTGTGGGGTCACATTGAATGGAACCTACCAATCTCAATAATCTCCATCCAGCATTCTCAAAATCCATGATTATTTCTAGAAGCAAACTAATTCTACTATGCTAAGGCCTGGGTTCCTATAAAAATAGAATTTTATTGCTTTTTTTGTAAAAGAAGGGAATCCTTCCTCCACATCAGTCCCACAAGTGTTCTCCGACAAAGGCTGACATCCACTATACCGCAGCTGTCTGTCCAGGCAGAACCCAAGACCCCTGAGGGGAGGACCTTTACCTTACATTCCTCAGTCCCCTTATAGCTGTACTCAAAGAGAACACAAAGTAGGCTTGCCTGTCGAAGGCCCTGGCAATAACCGAGAACATCTGAACTCACCCTGGCACATAATGCCCCTGGAGATACCGACTGGCTTAGAACAAAACCCTCAGTGCACACTCAGCCACATGGTGACAGAAAAAAGCTGGGGGAGTGCAGCAGAAGAAAAGGCTTGCCGCTGTGAGCCCAGGCTATTCTGGATACGGTCACTGGAGAGCTCCTCCAGCTGGCCCAAGAAGGGGGCCCTTCACTGAAAGAAAACAAGGAGGGTAATCTAAGAATCCAACAGGAAGAAGCACCAGTGCAGCAAGACTCAGGGAGACAGCTCACTTTCTCTCTCTGCACAGCTACTCCAAACCTCTGCTTCAGCTTCCTCCCCTACAAAAGGCCTTCCCCCAGTGCCTCTGATGGTGCCCAAACACACCTTGCACTCAAACTCGCCATGATAAAAGGACTGATTCTAATTTATGGTATAAACAAAGAAAGAAGTCTCTCAGTTAAACCTCAAATCCAAAAAAGATAAAATATGTAATTAATCAACAACATGTCAAAGCTGTTGGGTTATTCCTTTCCACAGTTCCACCTGCCACGTGTGGCATTTGCTGTGCACAGGGTTGGTTAACCCTGGTTTCTTTGCAAAAGAAACAAAGCACATTTCCTTCTGTTCATCTTTTTGCCTATTAGTTGGGTAAGCTGAAGGAGAGAAAGTCTATGATTACTCTCATCTGTGAGGTTAGCTTTTCATAAGCGGTATTCAGAAACAAGGAAAGAAAGTGGGTAACCAGACAAAAACTATATTTCTTCTAGGAGCACATATTTCTTCATCATCCTTGTTATTCTTACACAAAAACTATGAATACGTGCTGAATACAGAACTCGGTCGGAAACATATGACATAGCATATGTGACTTAGAAAAAGGCATCTAAACCTACAGCACCCCACTTTCCACACCATTTTAATGTGCTGCACTAGACCAATCCTGACAAGAGAAGCCTCAGCTTTTATTGCTGTTAATACCCTGAGCAATTACTGTAGCTCAGCAGGAACCTCTGCCCCAAACAGCAGCTATCACACTGTAATCAGCATTTCATAAGAGACGCAGTTCAAACATGAAGGCACCTGCTATCGTGCAAAATCTGTATAAAAGGGACTCAGACACTAAGTTAAAAGAAAAATTTTTGCAATTTGATTCCACAGCTATCTTTTCCATGGTGCACTGGTGTTACACATTTGGTAAAAATCACAAAGACAGTGAGCAGAGAGTGACGGCAGCACCACCAGCTAACTCTTCAAGAAACGAGGCCGCCGCCCAGACTCACAGATGTCGGCGCAGCGTCTGTAAAAAAATCTCTGGAAGGCAACATATAATAAACAGCAGAGACCTCTAAAAATGGTAAAACCTCACGTCGACATAAACCCTGAACAGAAAGCATTTGATTTACAAGATTAAACTGCAAGGCCACCTTGTAAAACAACCAGAAGGTAAAAGCGATCTATCAAGAATAAAGAAATCTTAGACATAAATGGCCTGTTTTACTTTGTCTTAAAGTAGCAAAACACATGTATTACTCAGGTGATAACTTTTGAATAAAGAAAAGTAAATAGCAGGCAACTTTTTAACTCAATAGGATATACTAAATGGACATTTGGAATCATTCAAAATGTGTTATTTTTTTTAAAAAGAGATGCACAGTTCAGAATATTATTTTCCTTAGACTGAAATATCACATACAGTGTATGGCAGAGCACAAGTGTTATCAGAAGTCACAGAGGGGTTTGGAAATGTGGCATTCACAGACACTGATGTGTATCTCTACAAAGCTAAACAATTGGCATGCCTCTAAACCTAAGAATGTACACAGTGGCTCATAACCTTCAAGTACAAGAATCCTTTCTTATCATGTTTCAAAAGATCCCCAAATTACAGTATTTCACATAACAATAGTTTGAGGAAAATACTAAATAATAATAGTGATTCTTAACTATGTCTTGTCATTAAATAAGTTAATTTTAAAAATCACAGAAGCATACTGATATATTTGAAAAGGAGTTATACAGACATGTGTAAGGTACATTTATTGAACACTGAGAATGTTTATTTACAGACCTCTACAAACTATCTGCGAATATTGAAGGATCCAAAGTGCCCAGTCTGACAACCAGTGGACTGAAAGCAAGATTTCATTTCAGACAATCCCAGCACTTCAGTACTTGTGAAAGGTTTTCAGTGAGAAAGCACTGTAGCTATTCCATCACCAGGCCAGGCTTCCTTCTAGCAACTTCCACTCCTGGGAGACTCCCCCCAAAAAGGTTCAAGATACTCTCCATATTTGCTTAAAATACCTAAGAAAGTATGCCACAGAAAATCAAAATATCTGGCCCATTTATATTCTTTTTCTCTCCCCAACTCATCATGAAATCCCAAATTCACTTCACTTCAGGTCCTTCATAATGGCTGAGAAAAAAACCACTCAAGGGAATCTCTGAAATTATTGTCAAAACAGTTACTAAAGGAATAAAATTTTCAGAAGTATCTGTTTGCAGGATGAGCTTTCTCATGCTGAATGTTCTAACACAAAACCGCTTACTGCCCTGCTGGAGTGCTGTAGTCCCCAAGCGGCCAGCAGCTGAGAGGTGAGCAGGTCACCAGGTCAACACGGAGAGCAGCGGCCAGCAGACAGCCGACGGGGTCGGGAGAGAGCACAGAGCAGAAGCGACAGCGCACGGAAAGATGCTTACCAGTTTGAAGTCTTGGATGCTACAGATGAAATACGGTGTGTTGGGCCTCCGACTCTCGATATACACACAGTCTTTAAAAGAAAAAGAAAATTTAAAACAATGGCATTTACCTTTAAGGGAACAAAGACAGGGCCCATAAAGCCACTGCATCAATAAATAAATAAATAACAAAGCACATACCTTTCATAGAAAAACAAAATTTATAGGTGATATTAAATTACAAATAATTTTAAGTTAAAGGGAAACAGATCTTGAGTTCTTTTTGATCACTAGCTGATGATTTAAAGATTTGGTAAAGCCCCAGTTATTGTTCCCAGCAGCCCTGAAGAAGGGGAGTGGGAATCCCATGGGATTATCCATAATCAGATGAAGAAACTTTGATAAAGGGAATTACTTACTCAAGTAATTACATACCAAAACAAAATTGTGAATATCTTATTCAGACATATGCTCCCCATCTTCACACAGACAAACAGCTTTGCCAACTACTGCTTTATTTTTAATACATATTTTGTGAGGAAATGAATGAAATATGTAAAAAAGACTAGCTTGAACATGCTACTACAATAACCTTTTCACCCACACAGAAAACCATCTACTATCTCATGGGCAACTTTCTATTAAATTTAAACCTAAACATATTTTACTTTCTAATCGTAAAGAAAATGAAGGCAGCCAATCAGAGATGGAATGAAGTAAACCAAATTAGATTTTCCTCACGGAAGAAGAGCACTCTCTTAAATTACATTTGACAAGGCGGTAGCTGGGTAATTATTTCTGATGCTCTCAACAGCTGGAGTCTAAAGGTTACTTTATAAAATGACAGGCTAAGATATATTTGTTTTTCTAGAAGTAATGATTTTAAGAGAAGCAGCAGCTATAAAGGAATGTAAAAACTCTCCACACTAGCCCAAGATCATCATAAAGCATAGGACATAAAAGTCTGTGTATTATTTACTGAGAAGTAATGGCATCTGCTGTCAATCACATTTTCCAGGGAGAGTGACCATAATGCCCACACTTAAAATGTCATGTTTTATCTTCCTCATGACCCGTCACAACAATGTCTTAGAATTTTCTCAAACCAGGCAGATTCCTCCGTTTCTCCAGTTCATGCATGTTAAGAACACACTATACCCAGCCCCCCAAAAAAGCAAAGGTCTGGAGTCCCCAGTCCAGTGGAAATCCTAGTCCCACCACAGGCACCAGCAAGACCCAAGAGGAAGACTAGGAAGACAGCCAAGGAAGACAGAGGGGCACTTCTTTCCATGAAACTTTCTGAAAGACAGTAGGATTTTTGAGGCCCACAGTCATTACAGAAAAGGAAGAAATCTGAAAGTCAAACACTGAGGCATCCAGAATTTCCCAACTGATTTCTCTACTCAGATGTAGGCTCCAGAACAGCAATTCGATCTCTGAATGCAAGTGAAATGGCAGTTGAGGAATGAACTGCTGACTGAGCTTTCTATCTTGCTCCAAAGTCCAGGATGCTGGGGGAAAAAAAAAAAAAGCTGTTCCATATTCAGACAACATCCAGTAGCATGCTAATCACCTGAAGGGATGAAGAGAATTCTTCCCACTGTTGTAAATATTTCTCTTCCTAATCCTAATTTGGTATTCAAGTAAAAACTGAAGAAATCCACTCCTTAAATAAAAACTGTAGCTCCAACTTGGGCAAATCTGGGGACAATCCAAGGTTGTTAATTTCCATGTTCCAATCCTTATTTTACCTACTACCAGCACTTCAAATCTCCAGACATCCATTATTTATTCACCTCACTCATTCTGAACACAAATCACAGCCCATACACCTCTTCTTCCTATCACCTCCCACAAAGGAACTATTTTTGGTCGTTCATAACGTGCACTGTCATGCACACTCAGTTGCTCAGTCATGTCTGACTCTTTTTGACCCCCATGGACTATAGTCCGCCAGGCTTCTCACTGTCCATGGGATTCCCCAGGCAAGAATACTGGAGTGTCTATTTCCTTCTCCGGGGGATCTTCCCACCAAAGAATCGAACCCAAGTCTCCTGTATCTCCTACACTGATAGGTGAATTCTTTTACCACTGCACCACCTGAGAAGTCCAACACTGTCATACCTAACCTCTAGTCACTGACTTCAAAACTAACAGGTCCCTTCTTGACTAATGATCTCCACTTTCTTAAAGCTCATGTGACAAAAAAGCTTGTTGCATTCGATGCTCTGATCCCATATCATACCTTACCTTCCCTAGACTTCACTGTTCAACTGCACCAAAGCCCACAGCCTGACCACATCAAACCCTCTTTACTATTTTATTCTTAAAGGCACCTGCAGCCATATAATGAGTTACCTCCAGTGGCAGTAAATTCTCATAGCTCCTCTATAAAGAAATATCTCCTTACCCTGATAAAAAATGTCCTTAATATTGTATAAATATATTGACAATTTACATCCACTGTGTGGTCAGTTATTTGGCAGTCAAGATGGTCTACACTGTCCACTATCAGTTCTGAGCTTAAAATGACATACTCATTTCTGCCATCTCTGTACTTCCCCAAAGGACTGATGTATGATACTGATGTTGGTAAGACTAGACAGAATTGGAAGTAAATGACAGATGGTTAGATAATGAGGATTAAGAATAACTCTATTCTTTTTACACAAAGAAAAGCTTTACATATATATATACATTATAATCAACAGAATCATTATTACTATAAACCCTTTACTTATAAAGACATAAAGTAGCTATTAACATATATTTAAAAAGCTTTCCAGAAGAGGAGAAAGAATCTATATTCTTTCATTTCTCACTACAAAGATACATTCAGGAAAATGATTATCTGTAAATACAGTGGTGTGTGTGCTCAGCTGTTTCCAACTCTTTGCAACACCATGGACTATATCCCACAAGGCTCCTTTGTCTATGGGATTTCCTGGCAAGACTACTGGGGTGGGTTGCCATTTCCTGCTCCAGGGGATCTTCCCAACCCAGGGATCAAAAGGGCATCTCCTGCATTAGCAAGCAGACTCTTTACCACTGAGCAAACTGGGAAACCACTCCTCCATCCATGGGATTTTCCAGGCAAGAGTACTGGAGTGGGTTGCCATTGCCTTCTCCAATCTGTAAATATACCTGAGAATAAATCTGTTAGAGAAGGAAGGAACATACATGATGTGAAGGACAACTACTGATAAACTTTCACCTAAACACTTCTCTGTGGTCTTACTGGAGGCTGCCCTGAGGAAGAGTGTTATATGGAATTTGCATATCAACACCTTATTACTAGATACAAAGTTACCTCTGTTTAAAGAGCTATCATGGCAAACCAAACTGATCCAAAAATTATAAATCCAGATATGAGATTTCAAACTAAAAGGTAAGTTATATGTAAAACAGGTCATTGAATTCAGTTCAGTTGTGTCCGATTCCTTACAACCCCATGGACTGTAGCACGCTAGGCTTCCCTGTCCATCAACAACTCCCGGAGCATGCACAAACTCATGTCCATTGAGTTGGTGATGCTACCCAACCATCTCGTCCTCTATCATCCCCTTCTCCTCCTGCCTTCAATCTTTCCCAGCATCAGGGTCTTTTCCAAGGAGTCAATGCTTCGCATCAAGTGGCCAAAGTATTGGACCTTCAGCTCCAGCATCAGTCATTCCAATGAATATTCAGGACTGATTTCCTTTAGGATTGACTGGTTGGATCTCCTTGTTATCCAAGGGACTCTCCAGAATCCTCTCCAACATCACAGATCAAAAGCATCAATTCTTCGGTGTTCAGCTTTCTTTATGGTCCAACTCTCACATCCATACTTGACTAATGGAAAAAACATAGCTTTGACTAGATGGACCTTTGTTGGCAAAATAATGTCTCTACTTTTTAATATGCTATCTAGGTTGGTCATAGCTTTTATTCCAAGAAGGAAGTGTCTTTTCATTTCATGGCTGTAGTCACCATCTGCAGTGATTTTGGAGCCCAAGAAAATAAAGTCTCTGTTTCCATTGTTTCCCCATCTATTTGCCATGAGGTGATGGGACCAGATGCCATGATTTTAGTTTTCTGAATGTTGAGTTTTAGGCCAACTTTGTCCCTCTCCTCTTTCACTTTCATCAAGAGGCTCTTTAGTTCTTCTTTGCTTTCTACCACAGGGTGGTGTCATCTGCATATCTGAGGTTTTTGATATTTCTCCCTGCAATCTTGATTCCAGCTTGTGCTTCATCCAGCCCAGCATTTCACATGATGTATTCTGCATATAAGTTAAATAAGCAGGGTGACAATATATAGCCTTGATGTACTCCTTTCCCAATTTTGAACCAGTCTAATTGCCCATGTCCAGTTCTAAGTGTTGCTTCTCGACCTGCCAATAGGTTCTCAGGAAGCAGGTTAGGTGATCTGGTATGCCCATTGCTTTAAGAACTGTCCACAGTTTAACGTGATCCACACAGTCAAAGGCTTCAGCATAGCAGTGAAACAGAAGTAGATGCTTTTCTGGAATTCTCTTGCTTTTTCTATGATCCAACAGATGCTGGCAATTGATCTCAGCTGCAAAGAATATAATCAATCTGATTTCAGTATTGACCATCTGGTGATGACCATGTATAGAGTCATCTCTTGTGTTGTGGAAGAGGGTGTTTGCTATGACCAGTGCATTCTCTTGGCAAAACTCTGTTAGCCTTTGCCCTGCTTCACTTTGGACTCCAAGGCCAAACTTGCCTGTTACTCCAGGTATCTTTTGACTTCCTTTTTTTCCAGTCCCCTATGATGAAACAGACATTTTGTGTGTGTGTGTGTGTGTGTGTGTGTTAGTTCTTGAAGGTCTTGTAGGTCTTCAGAGAACCATGAAGACCTTCATATCAACTTCAGCTTCTTCAGCATTAGTGGTTGCGCCATTAGACTTGGATTGCTGTGATATTGAATGGTTTGCCTTGGAAACGAATAGAGATCACCGTCATTCTTGAGATTGCACCCAAGTACTGCATTTCAGACTCTTTTGTTGACTATGAGGGCTACTCTATTTCTTCTAAAGGATTCTTACCCATAGTAGTAGATATAATGGTCATCTAAATTAAATTCACCC